CTCGAGCCCGCTTTTGCCATTGGATCCTGCCGACCCTGCCTTATCTCCGGACATGACCATCATTCTCGTTTTAACCACATCCGTAGGGGTTGTAGCAAATGCGGCTAAGGCCCCCGAAACCGCGGAACTCGCCCCGGTTACCAGTGCGGCCTCGACGAGATGCTGCGTCATGGTGATGGCATCGTTGCTCGGTGCATATTTTGCCTCGCGGCCAATTAGGTACTGCGACGCCCCCTGGGTCGTGGTGCTTGTATCGCGGGTCTGCTCCAGATAGGCCCAGATATGGCGGCGGAAGAACTCGAACAATGGGAACTGCATCGCTGTGAACGGTAAGTTTCGTGCGGCGAGTGCCGTGTATCCCGTCAACAGTCTGCGCGCAGGGCCTTCTGGACTGCGCCAGAGCATGCGCAATGCCTCGGTCGACGTAGACCTCCTAGACTGCGGTAACATTTGCGCATTTTGCTTGATCACCTCGGCTGGAGTCAGTACGAGGCACGAGGCCAGCTCCGCGGTGGCCGACGCGAGAGCGTGGATGGTTGGCTGTGGGATTTCGGCGGGCAAGACGGATCCTAGAGCAGGCTTCATTGATTCGTAGGTCATGAAGAAGACGCCAGCTGCAGCACCGCCATTCTAGGAGCATTAGCTTATGCTGTACAACGACACTCGTGTCTTGCGCGGTGGGGGCCGTCAGAGAGACTGACCCGCTGGCAGCGTTGCAAATATGACACTGCCGATGCCTTGATACAACCCCTTGAAGGCGGTTGGCGCCCGCTTCGTTGAAACGGACTGGACAAAAGCATTTTGGAAATCCTGGCTCTGGTAGCGAGTCTTGATGGTGTCCAGGGGATATATGAGCAAGTCCACTGTAAATGCGGCAAATGCGCCAGCCTACAGCGCGAGGGTGTGTTAGCGGATTCATTGGCTGTGCACTGCTGAGAGACGAGGACGTACAACCACTATTTCCGTATGCGTGCTATCCCTCGACATTGTTTCCTGAATCTCCCACAGATCTTTTGAATTGCATCACGTCGGAGACTCACTTCGGAGGATGTTTGGTCCTGTGGTAACGAAATCCCGACGCGTGGGGGATAGCCGGATTAATGACATCATTGCACTGATTGAGACCCCACCCCCCCAACTGCCCCCATTCAGAACGCCACTCTTCTTCAGCCTGCCATCAGCCCAGCAATACGTTCAAATTTCTCATGTCGTAGAGACAACCCTGTGCAATCTTTGATACGGGGAATTCTTCCATTTTGATTCTGCATTTCGAAGTCTACTCTTAAATGCCTTTTCAAATGCCTCCCAGAGTACTTGAAAGATAAGACATATCCTTTTCTCAACGGCATGCTCTTACTTGATACGAGGCGTCCTCGCCATATGAAAAGGCTTTATTTACATTATGGTACACGTACCAATTGTTTTAAAAGGTATCATAGCACCTTTCCTAACAGAAGAAGATCTCAATTGTGACATCAGTGGTGGAGCTGTGTGGCCCTTTTGGAAGGCTCACCCAACAAAAGACTCATCCTAAGTTGAACCCCAGGGTATGCGTCAATAGCCCGATGGCTACTTCATTCGCAGCAGCATCTGCCTCTCCGACATTTGTGCCAACAAAGTATGCCTCCCTCACGCCTGGTGCAACTATGCCAACTGCGTAGTTCATCCTGTTGGATCCGTCGTGCGACAAATATCCCCCCCCGACACTCGGATTATTTCGAAGCGCCCACGCACCCGGTGTGTACCAGTCTGTAGGGCCCTTATCTCCGCTCGGCGGGAGCCCAGCAAGAGTACGGTACGGGGTGTGCAGCACTGTGAACGCCGACGCAGGCAGGAGCGGCGTCTGGTTGCCCAAGGAGCCTTCGACGTGGAGAGCGAGGAACTTGGCGTAGCTGTCGATGGTGCAGTGCACGGTTCCCGCTGGGCCGAGGGTGGGCGGATTATCCGTGTCTAACGGCACCGGGATCGGTTCTGGGTGGCCAGGCAGATGCGGCCAGGGGTTGCTGATAGAATGCGGCGTCCGCTGAGGCACGGGGCCGAGACCGCAGCCATCCATCCTCAGCGGGCCGAAAAGATATCTGAAGAGAAATTCCTCCCAGCTTCCGCATCCTGGCGGACTGTGCGTATCGATGATATGTCCAATTAACATGTAGCCAAGATTAGAGTACGCGTAGGCCGACCCTGGACGAGTTGCGGGCTCATAGGAAAAAGCCCGCTCCGCGAGGAGCCGCCGACCTTTGACAGGCGTGTAGGTTCGATTCGAAATCTTCATCCACAAGGGCAGCTCCTGTTTGAGGAAGGTCTCGTCGTCGAAGCCTGCGTAGTGTGAGGCCAACATGGCGAGGGTTGTGTTTCTGTAGGCTGGAATAATGTTTGCAATGTGCGGCAGAGCCTCCGGAACTGTTGTGTTCCATCTTAGAGAGTTATGCGGGGTTTCGATGAGAATCGCAACCAGCGTGGCTGTCATGGCCTTTGTCAGCGACCCGAGATGGAATTTATCTCTCGGGGTGAGCTTGGTATCGTTGCCAAACTTGCGAACACCTGTCGCACGGGAGTTGATCCGGATTTCATCATGATGCTGGATCTTGATACGGGCGGCTGCGAGACCTGGCAAGTGATATTTTACCCTAATCGAGTCCAAGGTTGTGTTTGATAGCGTCATCGGTGTATGGGTTATGCTACTAGTAGTCTGTGCCTTGGTAAAGCTGCCACGATGTGTCTATCAGCAGGAAACCTGAAAAGTTTAAAGCCAAAGGTTGTTTATGTCACTTACTTTAATACGAGCAGGTACACAGCAAGTGATCCCCAAAATGCCGATTGCCTATGATGATGAACAAAAATCATTTTGCTGGTTAATGCGACGACGAATTGAGTCGGCGATGATGTTCATTATCTGAAAGACGCCGTCGCATAGAGTGGAAGAACACTGAAGGAGAAGCGGAGCGAGTTCCCTCCACTTATTGTCTTCCACTTGTATAAAAGGATCGTCGTATGATAAGGACAATGTTTAGGTGCGGCGCAGTGACGCACAGTCCCGGAAAGGTACCAGATTTCTGTATCATTTTTGTTAGCTTGGCTTGATATGTGGAACGGGATACCAACTCGAAGTGAGTAAAAGAAAGGAGGCATCTAAAGATCACATTATGTAAGAAAACTCAACGATGAACGAGCTAGGTGAAAGTAAAGCACAACCATTCTCAGAAAAGGCTGGCGGCTTGGGATCCAAATCAAAGTTGGGGATAATGGATATGGCGGGGGGTTTTTAACAACCACGCAGCCTAAAAGGCAGGTGACAATCAAGTGGGGATAGGATTGTAGTACATTTACGGATGTTATATACATGGTGTATTACTGGAAGCTCAGCCCTCCTCGGCAATATCTCAATTAAGGCAGGTAGTACAATATAGCACGGAACTACAAACACCTTATGAACAGGGCACAGCATGTTGAATTTGAATGCTAGTACAAAGGCTTCTTTGTATTCAAATATGGTGATCAGACTAGTCGCGGTCTTTGTGGAGGCGAAGCAAGAAATGCTCATGTGTCTCTTCTGCTTCGACAAGGCGGAAAGCCATAGCTTAGCAGGTGGATAACTCCTTGCATATGAGAACTATTGGCTGGTTGTATGTTCCTTTAGATGCTGCCCAGAAGAGGCATCTTTGGGTCTGAATCAATTCAATCGTTGATTTGAGGCCTGAAAGTAGATCTACCTGAATAAATAGGCGACACCTATTCTACATATGTGTGAGAAGTCTCAGGTAAGACACACTGGTGATGATGGAGGTGGTTATTTGGCTGCTTTGACGTTCATTCAAGGCATGGGCCCCCCAAGACTTATTTCAAGTTTATACAAGAACCCAAAATTCAATTGACTGTGAGTTCATTACTTGGAATCTGATATTAATTAGTGTTTATGGCTTCCCCCGAAGACACCCTTTTAGACTTAGACCAGCTTGGTTATGTGAGTCTTTTGTCTTTCTGTTACTCATTTGAATTACCTACTTTACACACCCCTAGAAGTGTAAGCGTCTTTCAATCCCAAAGTTTAAGTTGATTAATTTGATGGAGTTTATGAACGTTTGGTGGTAGTGGCATATTTGCAGCGAAGCAATAGATACTGGGGTTTCTTGAAAATCATGGTAACCAAAATCATTATGATTGAGCTTCACTCGTAACTTCAACCGGGCGCTGGCTCCTATGAGTGCTTCATATAATTTAAAGCTTCTGAGGTCGAAGAAGCAAGAGTGCTAAAGGTTACTATTGGCATAAAACATAAAGCAATGCAGATTTATTAGTTTATCGGGGGTTCCCTAGCTCCAAGGGTCACATGTGTCACCGGAGTTGATGCCTCTATTTGCCTTCCTTTCTCACTTAAAAGGGTTGAATCGCGATGATGCAAGACGATATAGAGGTTCCATTAAATCTTCCCACTACAACATAGAGTCGTGCATTGAAAGAAGGGTGAGGGTCAAAGAACTACAATTGAAATGATATCGTTTACATTGCACGTCAACTTGGATAATACCTACGTTAACCTGATGCAAGAGAAAAAAGCCGAGACACCGCAGAGAACAAATGACTTGCGTCAAGAGACGGAGCTTGCATTTCAGTTTCATCGAATAACTCGCACTTCTCTTTGTACAAATGACCACGAATGCATGCAGGGAAGTTTTAAGTCACATATTCTGCTAGCTGACTTGAGAAAGTGGTCGATACAAGTGTTTCTTAGATTCAGGAATGAATGCGGACCACGGGCAAAATCGAGCTAGCGTACTTGCTAAAAAGTCCCTAACTTTAGAGAGATGATTTTCTGTTCCTTTTTTCTTTCCCTTTTTTTTTATATTTTTTTTTAAATTTACCGGGATTCAATTAAAGTTTTTCCACCCTTAACAAGTGATCACCATTTCATAATTTACGCGCTGAAGAGAGTTTTCGTGATGCATCGACATATATACTGAACCACCACGCTGTGGTTGTATCAACAAGAAGATAAACATCAGGCCCGGCTGGCGCAATGGTAGCGCGCAAGACTTCTACCAAGAAGTGTATCTTGAGGCTGTGGGTTCGAGTCCCACGTTGGGCTTTCTTTTTGGCTTTGTGCCTTTCTAGATCCACTCACATACACCGATAACATGCAGTTTGCAAAGTGATGCCATCGATGCTCCATATCGCTCTGGGTCGCTTGATTCTTGACACCACTGCACAATTTTAGGAGTGATTCGAGCTAACAAAGTCCCTTCACGGAATTTGATGATTCGGAGCTCCTCGATCCACCTTGTCTCACTGGCTTTGTTCCCGAAAAGTCCTTCTTTCACAAACTTTTGAACGGACTGGAGCTGCTTGATCTACCTTGTCTCACTGACGCTGTTCCCGAAAAGCAAAACGGAAAAAAAAAAATTGTGGAGAAATCTCTCGTTACAGGGGCCTGCAAAGGTGCTCCTCCATGACGTCTTGCACGACCTGGTGGAGTCTTGCCCGGCGAGTCAAGACGCTCTCTGTTCTCTCATTCGATAGATCTTCCTCGTACTTCTGGCCCAGGTTGTCTGTGATCATGTGCAGATAGCCATAGCGGATCCCGCTCCGCACGGCCGCCTGTGCCATCATACCAATCTCGGGGTCAACAAAGTCGACTGTGTCAGCGAGCTGGGCATGCCAGGACCTCGTTTCGTGTAGGACGCTCCCCAGGGTGACGTGGCTCCCGAAAATGGTCGAGTCTCTTCCGCGCTGGGCCACCGCCATGGCGAGCGTGTTGTCCCATTCCACGACGCGACCGTTGACAAGTGACCTCCCGCCCGTGGCAAGCCATGTGTTGGGCCGGACGCCCTTTCTCAGCACGCCAAGCTTGCCTAGGTAGATGACCTCCTTGACCTGCAGGCGAGACGCAAGCCAGTGCACCACCTCGCCTGCGATGTCGCCCCAAAAAGCTGGGCGGAAGCCGAGGAACGCGACTTTCCGGCCACTCGCAAACGTCCGCAGAACCCACTGCCACGGCCCGGAGCCCTGCCAGTCCACCGGCGACCCGGTCAGGTTGCTGAGGTGCCAGACTTGACCGAGAACGACCGTGTCAACGCCTTGGCCGGGGAACGAACTGAGGTTGGTCGCGTGCTCCAGCGCCTGAAGCGTGTCGGAGCAGGACGACGGCACAAAGGACACGCATGACGACGGTGTCAGGTCTCTTGTGTCATGCTGCTCCTCCAAGATGCGAAGGTAGCCGGCGATGATCTCGGCGTAGTGTTCAATGTGATCATAACCCGGAAAGCACTCGATGTACAGCGTGTTTCCCTCTGCGCGAGCCGTCGGCCGCTCCCAGTTGAACGGCTTGTCGCGCTTCTCGCCTTCAAAGGCGATAGAGCCTGGTGAGTATCGGTTGTAGGCACCGACGACAACAATCTCGTCGTACCGTTTATCGAGGACGGCCTGATGGACTTTGATCTCTAGGTAGCGCGGAAGAGATGTGCCCATGGTATGATTTGCAATGGTGGCATCGTTGCGAGGATATACTTTCTCGCCTGGGACATAAGGAAGCCTGGATAAATGTCAGACGGCGCCTTGGAGTTCAGAAAACAAATCCCAGGATTAATGGCGATCTGAGCATTGGGGACGGAGCCAAGTTACCGTATAAGCCGGAGCGCTTCTACCAGGGAAAGTTCGATAGAAGGCAAGCCCTCCTTTTCTGACAACGAGACATCGGTGATGGTCAGGGCTTCTCCAAATGGTTCACCCATTTTGAACAAGGCGAGAGATACTCAAGCACTAAGCTTCCGACTGCAGACATAGGAGGGCATGTGGAGAAGGTATAAGACTCCGAGTCTTCAGAACAGGCAGATGATCTCGTCCTTTATCATAGTTGCTGCCTTCCCCATAGGCTAGCAGTTTCAATTCCGAACATAGAAAGCCAGTAATCGAGTTCGATGTGCCACCTACATGCATGATAAGTAAGGGGCTAGCTCTTATGCGACAAACCTTGTTTTTGGTGGTATAACAGAGCCAACGAGAGACGGCGGTGTGGGCTTTTGCCGCGCTGATCTCGTTGTCCGACACGGTCCCGGGAGGGCCGAGGGGTGACAAGAAGGAGTCGGACACCGCTTGGTGTGACATCGCGGATTCTTGTACCGCCCATAGCCAATGTTCCAAGCCGTGTTGCCATTGGTTAGGTTGCCGATGGCTAGGCACTTGTATGCACTGTGCCCCTGAGGCTTGCACTAGCTGGGAAACCCTTTTTTCGACCATTATAAGAAGCACATCTTTGAGTTGGCGAGGCGAAATGATAGACGTCCTTCCCTAAAAATTCGCCTAGCCAGTCCCCATTCTAGAAACATCGCACGCCTCCGCCCCTCCTTTACACCTATCCAGCCAATACTCAGCCAAGCATGAGCGGTGCATTCCAGAACCCCAGAGTCGCCGTGATTGGGATCATCAGTGACACCGAGGGGCGCGTTGTTGCTGGGCAGCGAATCGGACCGCTGGGTGGAGGTAAGATGCCTATCTGGTATAACCAACCAGCCACCGACCGATACCCGGTGCCGAGGTTTTTTCGCACATATTTATCTACTTTTTTGGCGTGATTTGACACAACCTGCTTACCAACAGTTCTGTTCTCATAGGCCAATGGTCCTTTCCCGGGGGGCATCTTGAGTTTGGCGAGGATATCTTTGCCTGCGTCGAGCGAGAGACGCTGGAAGAGACTGGGCTCGTCATCCGCGGCGTCAAGGTTGTTGGCGTGACGAATGACTTGTTTGTCGAAAACAACAAGCACTACATTACCATCTGGGCCCAGTGCGAGCGTATAGACCCGGAGCAGCAGCCCCAGGTGAGAAGCTTAAATTGCCGCGTGCTTGTTGCCCGCTCCCGGTCCTCCCACATCCCGCCCACTTTACGTCGCTCCCTCCTACATCCTGTCTCGGTACCAGCTAACCTGTCGGGGGTGTTTTTTTTTTAAACTTCAGAGATTGGAGCCGAATAAGTGTGAGGGATGGGCTTGGACAAGCTGGGAGGACATCAAAGCCAAGGCAGCTAGCGAGGAGCAAGCAAAGGAGCTCTTCCTGCCGCTTCTTAACCTCGTGAGAGGGAATCCGCGCATCGACAAGGATGTTGCAGCCTCTCGTTAGGCCTTCGGCTCCAGATAATCTGACATATTGCATGGTAGGATTTCAGATTTGTGATTAGGATTTGGGGGATTTATTCTACCGATGGTTTTGTGGGAACTTACTAGAACTAGTACCTAACTGAAATAGGATTTGCCAGTGCCCACCATGTAATGTTTAAAGGGGCCCATCCATCCTCAAACATGGACCAATCAGCCACTACATGCTTTCTCATCGGGGGTGACAGACCTTGCATATGATATGACAGCCGAGTGCACATCGTTTGATCATTACCTGTTTACTTCAATGTCGGTGTAACCTCGGTAGCTAGCTTTATGCAGGGAGGTGATGCAAAAACCACTAGTTCTAGGCTGGCGAGTTGCAACCAACGGCGGGCATTTCTTGATACTCTTTCTGGCGCTGCGGCATGCTGCCTATCTGCCTACCTGCCTAGCTCGGTCGGGGCAGTGCAAAACATGAAGAGTCACCAGCAGACGGCATGGACATGTGGTATTGCAGCGGTTCTGCTTTACATCTGCCTATCAGTCCCTTCACGCTTATTGCGGAGATCCTCTAGTTGTGTATTGTAGTATCATACCTGGACATGCACAGGGGTGTTTATATCGATACTAAGCATGATTAAGCTAAAATCCAACAAAACCCTGGACGCGCGGCATTTTTAGTTCGCTAGTATCCTAGTCTAGATAAATCCTTCGATGCACAACCATCCTGGGCTTTTCCCAGAATTCAACTAATTTGTATGGCATTATTTCCTAGCTCCCCTTCGGATAATCCTTTGGGCCATCCTTGACTGGTAGGTGTCGCAGCATCGCGTCCCGCTCCCGTCCGCGTATCCGTTCATGTAAGGCCTTTTGCTCATGCCTCTAATCCTAGCGCCGTGCCTATACAACAGATACGGCACGGGATAGTCAAGGCTCTGTGCGGCCCCAGATTCTCGTACATGGGCACTGAGGCCAGCAAAAGGGCGCCCGCGACGACATAGAAGATGCAGGTTATGAAGGCGAGCGCTGATGCCGAGTGCTCCCCGTAGAGCAGATGTAGAGAAACATGGTTGCGAAGACGGTGACCAGGCCGTATCCGAAAAACACGGAACCCACGATGGGTACCCAGATGCTGATATGTGGCTGGTTTTTGAAGAGGCGCATTAGAAATCATGAAGATTGCAGTCCAAATATACAACAGAGAATGGGTGTTTTTTTTTTACATAGCAGGTCCATGCGAGCCACCAAAGTGAGATGGGAAGCATGGCGGAGCCGCCAAGCATGCTGTTCCACAGACAAAGCTCGGGCGTCAGCGTTCTAGCACCTACTGTCTTTTTGGCCCAACCGTAGATAAGCGGAACGAGGGGGATTGCGGCCAGGTTGCCAATGAGCAAAGCCGCAAAGAGGATAAATGTCAACGGCTGCGAGATGCCGCATGTTTGCTGGAAAGTATAAGGATACCCATTTGAGAAAGGTAAACAGAACAAAGTAAATAATGGTCAGATAAAGCGTAAATATCAGGATTATGGGCTCGTTATGGGTCAAGACGAAGGGGCGGTAGATGTTGACCAAGAACCTTCGCCCCAGGTCGCGGGTGGTGGCATACTCCTCGACCTAGTAGCGGTCGTCGCCCGTCAGGTTGCGCAGATGCTGTGCTCTCCATTCCAGCAGAACGGGTCGGTAAGTCTCGGGCTGGAAGAGAAAGACAAAGACCGGCACAGCACCGGCCAAGATGAGAGAGATCCAGTCAGCCCGGTGGAAGCCAATCTCGGGGACATAGGCACCGATGATGGGGCCGAGCAGAGGCCCCGCGTACGCCGTAATGGCGCCCACAGGCACCACGACCATCATCTCCAGCGGGTTCCAAATGTCGGCCACGCTTCCGCCCGTGGCCGTCATGGGCGTCGAGCCAAAGAATCCCGTCAGGAAAAAAACAAGGGCCACGCCAAAGTTGGGTGCCAGCGCCTTGGCTAAGACAAAGAGCATGAAGACGACAA